GGCAAACATACTCACAGACTCCTAAATGTACTTTTTTGTTGTTGCTTTGTTGTGCACCTGTAATCCTATCTCAGTTCTGCAACCTGCTACTGTTGTCACCGGTCAGTTTACAGATCTTGTCTTTATTGGCATCTATGTCCATCCTATGCCTACCCTTATTCCCCAGTCACGCCTAGGTGATACAAGCGGCGAACTATGATTGGGGAATGAGGGGTATGCCAGACATAGGAACACCATTGGTTGATATAATGTGCGAGGCAATGAAGGCTGGCACCAAAGCAGTCGCAGTTGCCACATTATTTCCAGAAATTTGTGTCGAAGACTAAGAGAAAATGGCACACTCGACTCTTTCCCTTCACTGCCCTCTTCTACAACTGTTATTGCAGCCGAAAGTGATTAATTGTCAGTACTCTAGAAGGTATTGTAGCTGTGTCGACTCTCTGTTGCCTGCCCTAAATGTAAATCCAAGTTGTCCCGTGTCGGCTGGGGAAAATGCAGTTAACTCGCTGAAAATCATTTCATCACTTACTTATGTAGGAAAAAAATTAATACATGTCGGCTCCCCTAGACGGATCGGCTTCCCTTGTCTGCATGTAAATTTGTCAGAACAGGTTCCTAACGGGCAAATTTTTTTTTTTTAACAATACTTCTGGTTATTTGGAACAGGACAAGGTGCTAAAACGCTTGATCGAACGGTAGAACGTTTTTTTGCCATTGCACTCAAAATTTGTTTTAAATGCAGCCATGCCTGGTATAAATCAAAGCTTGGAATAACAAAATAATGTGTAATAATCTGTGTGGTGCTGTTCTCTGGAAAATTTATTTTAAAAAGTCGGAGGTTGCGACGGTGTGATGTTTTAATAGTAATAAGAACAGCCAAGAATATACAAATCAAGACTTGTTTATATCGATGCTCAGAAACAACAGCAGGGTCTCGATTCCGGTACATTGACATTCATAGTATTTACAATGTGCTCTTCCAAAACAAAGTAGGATAAGAGAAAAATATGTTACTTCATGCATTGGACAGCAACTATAACATCTGTATACAGATGCTCAGTTAAATATAAACAGAAAAAAAGGAAATACAGAATACAAAGCGCGGCTTCTTTTTTTTCTTAAATTAGACAAAAACTACAAAATATCTAAATACAATATACCAATTCACCACTAAAAGTTAACAAAAAATAGCTTCAAGTATTCAATGCTATTGGGTCTCTTACAGACACTGAGATGCTCAAAACTTAGAACTCTTTTGCCCATAAAAATGCACATATTCTAGAAGTACACCACCGATGCCGATGCATTCAGCAGTTTAGAACAGAGGAAGACCGCCCCATGAAGTCAAGCTTCATTGCAGAATGGCGGAGTTTTTGGGAACAGTTCTCTGGTGCAGTGCACGATGACAAGACTGCCCCCTTTATGAAGCCCTTGGTGTCAAGATATAAGCCGTTTTTCAAGCTATTCCTTTATGGTGTTGCTAGTGCCCAGCTCATCAATGAGGTATGGATATACGATTCTTTGGCTCCAAAGTCGTTTTTTGGGCCAGTTGGTTCATAGTTTAAAAATATAAAAGCGCCGATATCACATAAGGACCAAGATGAAAAGAGACAAATCAAGACGCACTCGCAACTGTTGTTTATTGGAAAGTACATGCATCATATAGGCCCCAACAACCTGTCGGTCACCAATGTGTCGGTGCAACACCCTTATATATCAAAACTTTTTCTTTGATAGGGTGATTGACGCTTCACTTATGCTCGATTTTGGCGCGTAGGATAAAACTAAGAGAGAGGTGCATGAGGCATATGAAATTCAGGATAACGGTGCAGATTGCATAAGTGAAGCATCAGTCGCTCTATCAAAGAAAGAGTTAGAATATATTAGACCAAGCGTTGCACCAACACATTAAAGTCTGACGGGCTGTTGAGGCCTCTATTTGCATGTACTTTCCGATAGACAACAGTTGCGAGTGCGTCTTGTGTTCTCTCACTTCATGTTAGTCCTTGTCTCTAAGCGCTTTTATATTTTTATTCTTTGGCACCACAACCCAAATAAAAGGGTGCTGGTGGTCATCCACAAATCAGGACTCGGCAGGAGGTTGACAAAAAGTTGTACAACGGGCACGAGCAACACACAAGTGGGCCACCGGTGAGAGAGCATCACCTCCGCTAGAACGAGCGAGGCAGACAGATTTGAGGTTGAAGGGATTGCCGCACACGGGACACAAACGGATCTTCCGCCTGTGCTAAGCGCCGAAACCAACAGAATCATAAATGGCAGAGTACGATGTTGGAGCACTGCCACAGCCCGTGATCACACACAAAAGTGGTGGTGGGAGAAGTGTTCGCATTAACAGGCATTTATGCACTAGACATCCGAATATCAGATCCACATACACTCGGCGATGGCGACTTGTTCTCATTGAACAAGAGGATACAAAACGACATATGACAGCCAAGGCAGGTTCGATATGCCATCCAAATCCATGCCATGGCATCAAGCCAAGAGAAAAAGAACTAAAAATGGAGCAAATAAGGACTGAGTATGATTGAGCCTGAGCTTAATCGCACTCTACCTTGTTCGGTAGGGGCACAAGAAGGAAAGTGTCTTCGGTGCGGTTCATAATGACACATTTGGTCATTAGCTGCTTGGAACTGCATGCAGTGACAACACCCGATCTTGCACCTTCACGCACGGACAAAAATGGCAGTCCTAGCTGTACGTCTTTAAAAACTACCGTAGGAGTCAGCTGCAGTTTCTCCATAAGCACAATGTGTTGGATGTCAGACGTAGTAGTTGCAAGCTTAAACACTGCAAGTGCCTGCACAATGCCAAAAGATCCATCACTGAGTTGAGCAACACAGTTGGCTCTTTTTGGCATTGGGTAGGACTCAGAGTTCCAGACAATGCCATTGCACTGGAAGCGGTGGTAATAAGTCAGCCTTGGCGGTGCATCTAAAGCCCTCTCTACTGCCACCTCAAATCTTACGTTCTGGGCACTTGTGTTGTGGCGTGTGTACACGACTACGTCGCCTGGAATTTGGGTACCTGTGCGCCCCATGCTCTTTCGGCCCATCATTTCTTCAAAAAACACTACTCCCTGTGGGAGGCTCATCCTGGTTATCAATGGGGCCAGCTGCTGCCACTGAAGAAAAGTCCTTGCAATCTGCTGGCCCACACACTGTGTGCCCGAGAAGTAACTAAGCAGAACTGCGTTCCTTCCCTCAAATGGGAAGCAAGAGTTTGCCCACAGAGGTCCCTACGCAGCAACTGCATCTGCCAGATGCAGAAGCTGGTGCACATTGTATGACATGTGTTCTGCACCGTACAGTCTTCCCATTTGTAACACAAACTTGCTCAGCAGAACCTGAGCTTCACAGATGTCGGAGGTTGATACGCTCTGTTTTAGTAGCAGGTATGTGGCATATGCCAACAATGTAAAGTGCTGGAAGTACGGTGCTAGCAAAACACCTTGAGAACAACACAGTTATAAAAAAGAAGTAACATCCTAAACTCTGAAGCCTTCCAGAAGGCTCTGTCCTCAAACCTCCTGGGTGTGCGGGTGACCTCTGTGGGTGGCAGGATGCCCAGGAGAATGGCATTCATGGTCACTAGTTTAGTCCCAGCATACCATGGCTGATCATGGTTCTCGGTGTCAAGCCACAGCTTCAGCAGCTGCCGCATAACACCGAGACAAACGCAGGGTTGGTAGTCTGGGATAAACCCATCAACAGGGTTAAACCGTGGAATGGTCATGATGATTGAGGGACCCTTCACGCCATGAACTGGTGTTTCAGGAGTTCCCTCCACTGCTTCTATCATGTGGGCATTCTCTGAGCGCTTCTCAGGTGCAGGGTCTAGGTACGGGTAATGGGAACCCCCTGGGTGATAACACCATCCACATCCAAAAAATCCATTAAACTGTTTGCAGTTTTTTACTGCCGATCTTGCGACAGCATCCACAGAGCAAACCACAGCAAACACACGCATGTTTACTGTTTTTCCATCTCTGATGCGAGGAAACCCGGCTTCTAGTTCCTGCAGCTCCCTTGCGAATGGTGTTAGCAGTGTTGTCATATTTGGCTTGGTAAACCCAAACTAAATAGCTGGCATTAGCATGTTTTGTTTGCGTATGGTTGGGTCCAGTTGGAGTATTTGGCACTGTATGGGCCAAATATTGTACGTCGACTTTTCAAACACTCTAATGCCATCTGTGTTCCAGATGAGTGACAAGTCGTCACTTGAAAAGTCGCTGCATAGTCTTGCATGTTCTTGACCGTCAACAATGTCTGATATATCGGGCCCTGTTGGTGTTGCTGCCATCCACTTAAGATCTGGCTGCACAAGAATCCGCTGCAGCTGCTGTTTTATCGGCAACACTAAAAAGAACGGACATGACTCGGGATCCGGCTCAGTCTCACAATTCTCACATTTTGAGATGTCGCCAGGAAGACCCAAGTACCCTTGGCAGGACAGGGCAGTAGTGATGTTTTTCTGCTTCTACCGCATGAGCATCTACAGCTTTCTGTAACAAGTACTTTGACTGGGGTACTTTCCAGGGGAAATGATGTTAATCATCCTCAGAATGTCAGCAGTTGCCTTGTCACCGTCTTTGTGGCGCAGTATGTACGACATGACAAGGGCAGCTAACTCGGCTGCATCATCCGACTCCTCTTCGCTATTTGCAGATAGGTCTTGCTGCGATCCCTATAGAAGAAATAGAAATATATATATATATATTGTAGGGTTCGGTGCCACTGCTCGCCCGCAAGAAAGACACGCAAGTCAGGACATAGCAAAAACACACCTTTACTTCGTTCCGGTCCCTTCGAGTCTGCCACGCCGAGCCCCTCGTGAGCCACGCACAAGACGCTCGAGCTCGCGCCCCGTGCCCACGGTTTGTATCGGCCACTGCCGCGCTACTGCACACTCCGCATGTCGCTTGCCACACACATCCCCCCCTCCCCTCCCCCAGCCCGCGGCGTTAGGAACTGTTCTCAGAGTTGCTCGTCGTCATCAATGTTTATCGCGATCTCCGCAGCACCTGGTGGTGACGGGTCTGCGTGGGATGGGGGGCGGAGGAGAGCAGGACGGAGCCTCCTGATAACGGCGATGGCGCGAGCTAGATCGTCGTCCCTCATCCTTTCGAGGTGTAAGATGGCTGCCCTTGCGGCGGCTGCTGACTCCCGCGAGCGATGAAGTGCTCCAGCTCTGTGGGTACGGCGGTGGATTTCTGGCACCTCGCAGAGCGGGCACAGGAGTCGGCGCTCGTCTTCCGTGTAACTTTGTGGTGGGTTCGCCGGGCGGTGGGTGTTCAGCGTGAAGCCTCTGAAAGGTTCAGGCACCTGGGCGTCCATGTCAACCGTCAAAGGGCGCGGCTGGTCGTGCCAAGCGAGGCTGGACGACCAGGCCACTGGGTGTCCGTGGTTGTCGAGGGTGCCCCAGGTGGCCGTAGACCGCTGGTGCGATCGTCTGGATCCCCGGCGGTGGTGGTTGTTCGGGTTGTCTCGTCCCCTGGGCTGGTAGTAGCGTCTGGGTCGCCAGTGCCGGGGTGGTGATGGGGACCGTCTGGCAGCCTGATTGACTCGCGGCATGCTTGGAAATCAGTAATAAAAAAAGAGGATGTCAGTAATGTCCATTACAAAAAAAGCAAACGTCTTCTACGTAAACGCAAGAACAGGTGAGCTAAGCTCGCGAGAACAGTCAAATGTATACCGCTCAAAGTCGCGCGCAATCAATCAAAATAGGCGGTAAAATGCTGGTTCTCGGCTAAACCCATTGTAATCTTCTTTCTATAATCTTCGTCTTCGTCACCGACGTTGAAGTCTTCGAGAGTGTAGGCGGTAAACTAAGTACCAGCCAGATCAGCAACACTTCCCACCTGCGAGAGAAGTTCATCAGCCGAATCATAATACTGCTTGAGGTCGGTGACATGAACAGGTCCCGTGAGTCGCCCAGACTCACAGTCGACTTGCGTGTACGTGAGGCGTGAAGCTTTCTCACGTACTCTATATGGACCGTCCCACCTATCAGCCAGGGATGCCGTGAAACCTCTGGCTGCGTTACTAAGTGGGTGTGTCCGGCGCAGCACCAAGTCTCCAACGTGGAATTGCACGTCCCGGTGACCTCGGTTGTACTGCTCAGCCTGTTGCAGTCGGGCGACGTCCAAGCTCTCCCGGGCATCACGAACGATGTCCCTGAGTCTCAGTCGTAGATTGCTTGCAAACTGGCCATAGGAGTGAGAAGCACCCGGATCGTCGACAGAATAACTATTTTCGAGCGGGAAAGTCAGCTCTTTGCCAAAATTAAGGCGCGCGGGTGTGAAACCTGTAGATCGGTTAACCGTGGTTCGGGTTGCGAACGCAAGTTCTGGAAGCTTCGCATCCCAATCCCGGTGGCGCTCGGTGTGAGCGATCAACATCGACTTCAAATTTCGGTTTACCCGTTCGGTAATATTTGCCTGTGGGTGATAGGGAGACGTCCGCTTGTGTTGTATGCCCAATGCAGCACATGAGTCTCGGAACACTTTGCTGGCAAAGTAAGTAGCGTTGTCGCTAATCAATTTTGCCGGAAATCCGAAGCGTGTGAACGTCTCCATCAGACACGACCAGATTTTCTTGGACGTCAGCGATCGCAATGCAAATAGCTCCACCCACTTGTTAAAATGATCCGTGACAACCAACAGGTACTGGTTGCCACGCGGACTGCGTGGGAAAGGGCCCATGACGTCGACAGCGACGCATTCCCATGGGGATCGACTTACGACTGGCTGCATTAGACCAGGGGGCTTACCACCGCGCGGTTTGGCTTTCTGACAAACCGGGCATGAACGAGCGTACCTCAGCACGTTTTGACGAATTCCTGGCCAAGTTGCAGTACGGCTTAACTTTTCAAAAGTCTTGCAGCCACTACTGTGACCAGCCAAAGCGGAGTCATGGTAGTATCTAATGAATGACGTGCGAAGTCGGCGAGGTATCACGGCTCTAAATGGAGTATCTGTGGAGCCACACTCCTCGTCGTCGATCTGAGGTATGTACCGGAGCAGCAGACCGTCTTCGGCCAGTAAGTACGAGTCGAAACCCATGTCAGCGTCTCTGTTGCCACGTCGGTCACGTGAAGACAACCACTCAGAGACCCTGCGACAAAGTCCATCGTTCTGCTGTGCAGCCCGGAGCTCATCTCTGCTAATCAAAGTACCCCAGCGCGAGCCAGCATCTATCGCAGCCACGACATTGGCATCCTCGGGCACGTGCTCTTCGCCGAGCGGAGCGCGCGACAAAGCGTCTGCAACTTTGTTTTGTGAGCCTGGCTTGTGCACAATGGTATAGTCATATTTTTGAAGCGTCAGCGCCCAGCGTGCTAATCGACCTGCGGGATTTTCCAAACGCTGAAGCCAGGACAAGGCTGCATTATCCGACTGGATCACAAAGCGCGCGCCATCAAGATACATATTGAATTTCTGCAGGGCGAATATGATGGCTAGGCACTCAAGCTCGCAAACGTTGTAATTCCGCTGAGCTGGTGTCAACGTATGGCTCGCAAACGCTACGGGTCGTAAGACACCATCAATGTCTTGAAGCAGCACAGCACCTAAACCGTAGCCGCTCGCGTCGGTTTGCAGCACAAACGGACGGTTGAGGTCTGGGAGCTTCAAAGATGGTGTCTCAGCAATAGCTCTGGACAGTTGAAGGAAGGCATTTTGCTGTGCCTCCGCCCAATGCCACTTGACGCCTTTGCGCAGCAGTTCGTTCAGAGGCCGCGTTATCTCTGCACAGTGGGGGATAAACTGGCGATAAAATCCAACCATTCCCAGAAATCGCTGCAAACTCTTTGCATCATGGGGGGGAGGAAACTCAGTTATGGCCCTCAGCTTATCTTTGTTAGGGCGAAGCGATCCATCGTCGATTACAAAACCGAGCAGGTTAATCTTGGAGGTTGCCAGTTGCATTTTTCCCGGGTGAACTGTCAAACCAGCATTCTGCATGCGTTCGAGTATAGTCCGAAGGTGCACAAGATGTTCTTCGAACGAGCGTGAGAAGACTACTACATCATCCATATACGCCATGGCGTAGTTGTGTCGTGCGTCTCCAAGCACAATGTCCATAAGACGCTGGAATGTGGCAGGAGAGTTGCTCAAGCCGAAAGGCATGCGCACAAACTCGTACAATCCTCTGTAGCACGTGAATGCGGTTTTCTCGATGTCAGCGGGTTCGACCTCTATCTGGAGGAAACCGCGACTGCAGTCAAGAGTCGTGAAAAAGCTCGCGTTTCCCAAGTTGTACATGATCGACTCAATCGACGGGTACGGGTACGCGTCACGAACGGTTACCGCATTCAGGCGTCGATAGTCGACGCAAAGCCGAGCCGTTCCATCCTTCTTGGGGGCAAGGACGATCGGGAAGGCCCAAGGGCTCTGCGACTCACGTACGGCACCCGTGTCGATCATCTCTTGGAGCGCCTTGTCCAGCAGGGCTCGCTTGTGTACGCTGATTGGTCGAGGGTTGCAGCGTAGGGGCCGGGTATTCCCGGTGTCAATTGAATGCTTCAGGACACCGGTTCTGCCGGGGTTCTCCGTGAACATCGGCGAAAACTCCTCCAGGAGTCTTTGGAAACGCCGCTTTTGCTGGTCCGTAGCAGGACACTTCTGCAAAGAATCGCTTACCGCACATGGGAGTCGCAAAGCAGGCGTTCTAACGCCAACGTTATCGACACTGACGATACAATCTTCTCGTCTGGTAAATGGGATCAGTTCCGAGTCACTACCTAACCGGTAGCCTTTGTTCGGAAAGTCCAGAACCAGGTTCTCCCCGAAAATGAAATCTCGTCCCAAAATAATCGGTACCGTGAGACCAGGTAAGCAAACGAAACGCTGACGGCGTTTTTTCTCGTTGAACTCGATCTGTAACCTCACGGCTTGACTCGCGAGCATTTCTGGTCCTGACGCTAGCTGTAAGCGCACGTTAGTCTCACGCAGGTTAGCTTTCTGCTCTTTGCAGCGTTCAATCAGGTAGTCCCCAATAAGTGACAGACTCGCACCGGTATCAATCAGCGCTGCCACAGCTATTCCGAGCACTGTAACTGTCATACGAGGCTCAATTAGCTCAGGGTCAGGCTGGATTCGACATACCGATGGTAGTGCTGCCGGGTTGTCCATGGTCACCGCGGCCGGCGGGCGCTCAGGGGTCAACGCCGTCGGCCGTGCTGGTTTTCCGAGACCGCAGGGCGGTTGCCCACCAAATCCGGGCAGTCTCGGCGGAAGTGACCTTGTCGGCCGCAGCCAAAGCAGCGCACCGAAATGCGGCGGTCAGTGTCGCGTGTCTGGCTGCCTGGAGCCTGTCGTTGTGGCCTGTTGCTTCCCTCGTTGGGCCAGCGATCCGCGCCCCGGAGCGAATCACGGGGGAAGGACCTTAAACGGCTTTCACCCTGCCGTAGTCTCGATCCAGCCGGCCAGGCACTAGGCCGGGGGTCCAAGCCACCGGGTGGTGCTCTCCCGCGCTCCCGCTGTCCAAAGGCGTAGGGGTCCAGCGCGCGGGGGGGAAGGACCGCGCCATACTCCTGGGGTTGGCGCTGAGTCGGACCTCCTCTGGGCCCGGGAGCTGACCAGGCACAGGACGGTTCGAGAGCTTCCTCGGGCGACGGTGGCGGCCGGTACTGGAGCTCTGCCAGAAGCGTCTCTTGGATGCCGCGAGCGTCCCGGGCCAGGTGCTCAAGGGTCTCGTAGGTGCGGCCATGTAGGTAGGGTCGGAATCTCGGATGGCTCTGCTGTACGACCCGAGCAACCCTGTCCGACTCCGGTGTCGTTGGGCAGGCCCTATCGAAGAGCTCCTGCATCACCCGGACGTATTCGACCAGGGTCTCGTCCGGGTGCTGGGTTCGGCGCTCCAGTTCTCGCTGGACTCGGGACTGGTACCCAGGCGGAAGAAATTCGTCCTGGAACCTCCGCCGAAAGTCTTCCCAGGACAGGAACGGGGCCACGATGCGCCACCAGCGGGCTGCACTCGCCTGCAACGCAACGGGCAAAACGCGCGCGAGGACGTATTCGTCCGAGGCGCCCGCAGCAAGCTTGTAGGCCGCCAGCTCTGCGAGGAAGTCGGCCACGGACTTCCGGTCGTCGTAGCCGGTGTAGGTTGGGACCGGCACCTGGGGACGCGGGCCACGACCTTGAAGTCCCGGGTCAGTCAGCAGCAGACGTTGTGTGACCGTGTCACATAGGTTGGCCACCCGAGCCATAAGGCCTTCCGCGTCCGGCTCGTCTCCGCTCTCGGCTTGGTCAGCGGCGGCTCTGCGGCGGCTCATCGCGAAAGTGGCCGCGAAAAGGAAAAAACACAAAAACCGAACAAGAAAGAACACAAAGGAACAGAAAAAGAATACCTAATATACACTATGCACAGTAGAGACGAGGGCCAAGCCGCGATGGCAAAGGTGGCGTCCGGTGGCCGAAGCCTAGTCGAACGGCCACGTAGGCCTAACGGGCAGGGCAAAGTCAAAACGGGAAAAACCCGGCTAAAAACGCCTAAAACGGGCTAAAAGGCCTGCTGTCCATCCCACGGGAGAGCAGTAGGCCCCACGTTGGGCGCCAAATGATGTAGGGTTCGGTGCCACTGCTCGCCCGCAAGAAAGACACGCAAGTCAGGACATAGCAAAAACACACCTTTACTTCGTTCCGGTCCCTTCGAGTCTGCCACGCCGAGCCCCTCGTGAGCCACGCACAAGACGCTCGAGCTCGCGCCCCGTGCCCACGGTTTGTATCGGCCACTGCCGCGCTACTGCACACTCCGCATGTCGCTTGCCACAATATATATATATATATATCTTTGATTTCGCTATGTTTTTCATTTATTGGTTTTGCACCGTGAAATTTACAAGAATGGAAATTAAGTTATTTTTATCTGACATTCAGTGAACAATCATATTGTTCCCCCCCCCCTAGAACCTCAATTTCAAGATAAGATTCGGAAGTTTTCGGTTCACTAGAAAAATAAAATTATTAAATTGCTAGCCGACCTAACTATATTTTATATCCTAACATTGATATTTTCGACATAGAACTATTGAGAGGGGAACTGGAAGCTGATAGAAATCCCCCAAGATTGAGAATCGCAAGACATCCCCCAATATTACTTTAAGACATTTGAATCCCATCATGCTTCCAAACACAGTTAGAAACCCCCCTGCGATTAGATTTTCTGGCAGGGAAGCT